CCCAGCCTTGAAGGAGTTATCTTTAGTAGGATTACTAAAAAACTAAAATATAAAAGAGACATACTCTGACATCCACTGAGCAGCCCACAGTCCATGATGGATTTCCCAGCACCTGATTTTGGCATAGAAGATGGACTAATGATGATTTCCCAACACCTGTAAAAGACAATAGGAACTCTAGTCACATAACATACATGCTGAAATCTGTTATGGCAAAAGTAAGGCTGAGAATACAAAGGAATAATGATACATAAAGCGTGACTGTTCACACCATACCAACAATATAACCTTTAGTGAATAAAGTGAAGATAGTATCGGGCAGTGTTTCTCTCAAATTTAGCATCAGAATCACCTGCAGAATGTGTTAAAACACAGAATGCTGGGTCCTGACCTCAGACTTTCTGATTAAGCACGTCTGTCATGGGGCCCAAGATTTGGTACTTCTAACACATTCCCAGGTGATACTGATGCTACTAGTCTAAGGACTCACCTTAGAGAGTGAGAATCACTGTTTTATGACAATTCCATATTAACTAATCCCTTTCCTTCTGAATGATTTATCTATTTAGTCTATTTTAGAAATGCAGAATCTCAACAGATCTTAGAGGTAATCCCTCTATCCCACACACCAATGCCAAGGTCCCTTCCGTGGCACCCTGTTAGAAAAGGCTTCCAGATTGTGAACACTGCCAGTGACAGAGACTCACCATTACACAATTTCACATTTAGACACTCCAGTTCTCCCACATAGTGATTTTTTAAAAAAGCAGCCAAACGTCTGGCCCAGACTTATTCTTTGGAAAAAAAGAACGACTCTACTCCCTGTTCTACATCATGGCCTTTTACTTTAAGGCAGCACTATACCTTCTTTTGGGCTCAGGGCAATCTAATTATTAATGCGAAGGGTAGCATTCACAGATCTGTATGAAGAGATCAGGGAATGAGCTCTCCCTGTACATGTGTGGAGTCACTTGTTCACTTAACAGCATTTTGGAATTCCATTATGGCAAGCATAGTTGGTGAATTTTTATGAATCACTAATTGTAGCAAAAATTTACGTCATCTCTTTGTGTGCATTCTTGTGTATGAACCTATCACTTATGTTTATTTTTTATTATAAAAAGTTATTTTTACAATCTAGAAAGTATAAAAAGATCACCTGATGACCCCTATTATCAACATGTAGGTTTTTTAATTCCATAAGAAGGGTTTTTCTATGAGCAGCTGGTTATTATGATTATATACATGGTATACTTAAAAACAATAAAAAACCATAAATCTTTGCTTATAATAGTTTGTTCTAGAATATCTTATCCATCCTCTCCTCTTTCTCCCCCCCCCCCTTGGCCAGGTGAAATAATCTTTTAAGACACATCATTATTTTAGTTATATTTTCTGACTCCACACAGGTAGAACTAAGCATACTATCCACCATCCTCTGGGCCTCCACTGTACCCTATACATTTTCCTACAGAGCACTTAAAACACATTATTACACTTGTTTGTTTATAGGTTTTATTCACTCTGTTTAAGTTCCTTGAGGATTGAGGCTGGGTTTTACTCATCTTTTTTATCTTTAGAACTCAGAACAGGGCCTTAATTAGTATTTATTAGTGACTAAAAGTTCCCATGTTTTCATAGAATCTTCATAAACATGTTTTAATCTCCAAAGTACTTCAGAGAGTAGACATAACAATTTACTTAACCATTCTCCCACGATTAGATATTTAAAGTGTTTTGATATTTTCACTATGCTAGGGAAAGTTTTTATTTGTTTAAACCTTTATTTAAAATTACAATTATTTCCTTAGTATACCTCCCCAGAAGTAAACTCAATACGAAAAGGAAACAAATATTTAAAGTTCCTGATACATATTGACAAATAACTTTCATTTGGTTACACTGCCACCAGCCATACACATGAGCCTACACCTCATATACATGGCTACTGTTGCACCTCAACAGTATCATGTAATTGGCTTTTCATCCTGGTTAATTTGATAAGAGAAAAAAAGTGCTTTAGTCTGCATCTTGCTTTAGTTTGCATTTCTTTACTTTCTCGTAAAGATATACATTATGATCATCTTTGCAAATCAGTTGTCTTTCTTCTAAATTCTCTGTTGATGTGCTGTGCCCATTTACCTACCTTAATGTTATCGATTTATATGATCTCTTTGTATATTAAAGATATTAATCATCTCATGTAATTATATAATAGAATAAAACATTTTCCTGTTTCCCCTTTCTTTTTTTTAAACACACATTAAAGATTATATTTGTCATTGAATTTACTGCATTGCATCTGTTACCTGTAACCTTTACGGTATATTGTTGATATTGTGTTTGCATGTAGGTTTATGTTGGAGGCCCATAACTGAGCATTTAGTCACCAGCCTGATGCAAGGCTTAAGCCCTAGTTTAGCTTAATTGTGTCATGGTAATATGCAGCAATACCATATATCTCTCCATGAATTAACTGCTGTGGGTGATAACACTGGATACAACTATAAATAGTAAGAACATTCAAAGTACTAGGGAATAGTGGCTAACTATTCATTTCTTTAAGATTTCTGGGAGATTGAATTCTATGTTTTTACCTTTAGAACTAAATTAGATCAAAAGAATGCACTTGATTTGTTTGGGGAAAAAAATGGCCCAATTAAATGTCAGCTCCAAATATAGTTGTTGGTAATGTGTTAAGCTCATCTCTAATCTCTCAAAGAAGAAAGAGAAAAGAGTACGTTAGTGAGATTTTCAGGATTCCTTACTAAATTACCAAATATCTTTATAGGATATGAACACAAACCTCTAAATCTCAAGTCACTCCTTTATGTATTTGTGAAACCCTCAAAATTTCAAGGGGGAAATGGTCTTTATTCAAATATAAACTTTGAAGTTTGAGTGCAAAGGCAGATGAAGTGTAAAAAGTATATTAAATTGCTCGTCTTTTAACTCGCTGTTAAAAGGAAACTGATAAAAAGACAATAATTGACTTTGCACAGAGCCTAACATTACTGCATGTGTGACAAGATCAATCACTTTTCTGTAGAGCACAGCTGTGTCTGTTTTACAGCTAAAGACAATGGGAAAAAAGAAAGCATACTAATTGCCTGATTACTTTTCCACATTTATTGCAGTAGCCAATTCTACCCCTGTTACATAATGCATTGATTCCACAGTTATAACCCCAGCACCTAATACAGTGCCTGTTGGGGAAAAAAAAAAAATGAATTGACTAGTTTCAATAGTTTGTAACATGAAGGGATTGTTAGATACAATAGAAAAGAGAATTATAGAAGAGGGGAAACACCTACTTAGTATATCTTGAAGAACTGTGTTAGTTCTGGAGCCCGGTCTTAAATTCTAGTTGGTGATACTTGCCAAGTCCCTTTAGGCCACCAGTACTTTCTTCACCACTAAAAGTGAGTGAGTTTGTTAAACTGACTTCAGTATCACTTCGAGTTATATGATGGAAGAAATGAAGTTCACACAAATTGCAATTATGTTCCTAGAATTTCATAAGGCAACTTTCTTAAGGGAATATTAAATAATGCTCTCTGTAATGTGAAAGGCAATGTGAAAACATTCTTAACCTTCCTCTCCCCACAACTTTATATAGTTTCTGTTAGGTTAGTTTTCAAGCTCTTTGGGATATGTTCTCTCCACCTCCAAGTATTTCTAGCACAATTATCATTGCTCATAGCACATGCTCAAAGGTCAACTCCAGAAGAGCACATCTATGAAATGCAAGGTAAGCATTTATTTATTCAAGTTCTTAAGGAGAGCTGGATTGGAGGTTATGGTGGAAAAGAGAAAAGTAGTGAGGTCAGAGGTGAAAACGCATACTTGAACTGCAGTTCTCAAATGTCCCAGGTGTCGGAAAAAAAAAAAAAAAAGAATTTTAACAATAGGATTAAATGGCACTCAGCATTAAGTCCTAGCTGCTTCAGAATGTGACTCTTAATTTGTCTATTCCCTACAATCTAGCACATAGGTTTGCAGGTAAGGTCAAATGAGAACAAGAAAATCAAGAAGCCCAATTAAAACAGGACCAACACCCAGTATATCAGTGCATAATATAGCTTAGTGCCTAAATGCGTGGCCTCTGGATTCAAATTGATTATCATTTACATCTCAGTCTCACTTTTTTCATCTGCAAAATGGGATAATAGAACTGATCTCAGAATCAAGTGAGTTAATACATGCAAAGCGCCTGCCAGCGTCATTCTTCTTAGTGCACGTTTGACTTCCTTAATGAACAAAATCACTTGAAGTTATGGCCCTTCTAACTTCTGTACCCTTAGCACCGCGCCCAATACAATACTCAATGCCTGCATTTATTTTTTTAAAACAAAGGAACCGACAGTACACCCTAAGCTGGAGTCGCCAGGAGAAGGGCTTAAAAAGCCGCGAAAAGGAAGAGCTGGGGTTCGGAAGCCCCTACCGCGCTACGCTGCCACTTCGTCAAATGGAGCAAAGTCCTCTGGGAAGTGTAGTCTTTAGCCCTTGAGAGGTACTTCGGCCACAGGCCGAAAAGCCAGAAAATTGGGAGGAAAGCAGTGAAGGCGGAGGGTTATTGCATAACTCAAAAGTGTCGGGAGACCCAGAGGTGGGTTAAGCTGCTCACCTGAATCTCCTAACACCAGTACCTTCACCCGATCCAGGGAAGCCATCTTGCCACTGCCTTCCTGGGGTTAACGCCTGTTTCGGGATTCTAGACCAATCAGAGTTGGGCATGGAGGGCAGGGCCTTCAGTTTCATTGGCCGGTAGGAGCGTGACTGTCTTGATTGAAGGCTTCACTGTACTGATTGGCTGGTCTGGTTAAAGCTAGCGGGTGGTTTCCAAAGCTGGTCGCAGGAGTAAGGCGTTTTCTTTGTCGCACAAGTGGCGTGATTCTTTTAAGCCGGTAGTTGAATCGCTGAGGGAAGCTGTAGTGGGAGTATTCGAAGATTCGCTTCGGTAAACCTTGTTCCCTGTTCCTTGTCCCCACTTCCCTGGCTTGGCGTCGCATTTCATGGTTTCTCCTCTTTTTCGCTCCCTTCTCCTTAACTATCCTGTCCTCGTTAGTTACCTTCTTGCCTTGGTCCTCTTCTTGGTCCTCCAAAGAACCATTGACCCGGGAGCGGCCAGTATACGACCTCGGGTAGGACGGGCTTGGCTGCGCCGAGTGTGGCCCTGGACGCAGCGGGGAGAGTCCGAGGGAGTTTGGGGTCTCGCAGGCAATGGGGAGGAGTGAACATTACTGAACGCGGCTCGTGGAGGACAGCTGGGTCCGGAGGTTTCGCGGTAGCCTGCCGCTGTATGTAAGAAGGCGTGGAAAGTGTCATGAAATATGGTAACTGAAAACCCTCAGTTACACGTATAGAATTCAAGTTCTAGAACCGTAATAGTGTTATACTGGACAGGATTCCCCGCATCCGCTCCTTTTCTCCTGTTATTCTCCACCCTACAGTCAGCATAATCTTTGAATTTTAACATCGCGAATTTGACCCAGTCACCTCCTGCTGAAAAGCATTTTAAGTTTAGGAAGAGAGAGTCCAATAGCTTGTCCTTTTCCGTCGTGAAAGCAAGAGTGTAGGAAGTGAATTGGGGGGAACTTGACAAGATGGGCCATGTTGGAAAAACACGTGCCGAGGAAATGTATTGAAAGTTTTATGGAAGTACTTGCCTAGCTGTGCCTAGATGCAGGAAATCCATTGGTGAACAAGATGAAGTCCCTGCTCTTAGATAGACATGGAGAATGTACAAAGGAAAAGAGCTATGAGGAACATGTGGAGGGGATCATTCTAGGCTACTGTGGTGTATCTGGGAGGGCCTCTATGAGGAAATGTCATTTGAGACTTGAAGGATGATTAGGAGAAGGGGATTTGGGCAGAGGGAACAGCATGTGCAAAGGCGTGGAAGTAGGGAAAGCATGTGTGGCTCATGGAATTGAGAGTATGCCAGTTGGCTGGATATGAGGCTGACATGGGTAGACAAAGCAGAATGCATTCTTTTCAACTTTGTTTCTCCTGCTCCATGCCTGGTGCACAGTAGTCTTTCAATGTTTGTATGATTAGAATACATGTGGGTCTCAGCTGGGTAGGGAGGTAGGTAAGGCTGGGAGATGACTGGTGAACTATGTAGATAAAAAGAAGAAACAAAGGCCCTGAGAAGTCACATACTCACAAGTCTGCAGAGACTGGCCAAGCTCCTTCCCAACAGTGTCAGCTGCTATTCAGCTTCATCTTACTGTTTCCATGTGGGAACATGGGCTCACTTTTTTCCTCAGATATTTCCAATTTTTAAGAGAAGCTGGAAGTTGAAATTTATGTGAACTGTCAAGATATTTAAATGTTGGCAGCTAATTCAGGAAAATTTCAGTACATTCTCTGGGTGAAACAATATGTGTGGGCCACCAGTTTGAGACCTCTGACCTTAGCAATTTAAGAAATCCAGAGATTGAGTTATGCAGGAGATTCAGCATGAGTGTGGAAGGGGAAGTGGTGGAGGAGAGAAGGCAGTGGTCCGGAAGGATTTCAGAACGTGGAGATTTTGAGCGGGGTGGCACAGCTTGATTTCATTCATGAGCTCCAGTTTCATTTGTTCAGCTGTCTGCTGGGCATCTTCAGAGGAATATCCTATGGTATTTCCTCGAAGACAAGTATCTAAAAGTGAATGCCTCATTTCTTCCAAACTTGTTTCTGTTCAGGTGTTAAGTATTTCTCATAGTAGAACTTTTCTTGGTTACACTGGCTCAAAACAAAGAGCTATTTAAGATTTTTCCTACTGTAGTACTCTATTTCCAGTATATTGTTGAGTCCTTTTGTTTCTGTAATAAGTTTCATTCGTCCTGTTTTCTTGCAATTTTTTGCTCTCTTTCTTAAGTTTTACTAGAGCTTCTATACTTCCACAGTGCCTCCACCTTCACTTGGCTGGTCTCCAGAGACTTCTGAGTGTAACTTCTCAGGGCCCTTGTTTTTTCTTTTTATCTACATAGTCCATCTCCCAGTCTCACCTACCTTCTTACCCAGCGCCACATGTATTCTAATCATACAAACTTTTAAGGACCACCAGGCACCAGGCATGAAGCAGGAGAAACAAAGTTGAAAAGAATGCACTCTCTACCTTCTGTCTACCGTGTCAGCCTCATATCCAGCCACACTGGCATACTCTCAGTTCCTCATATTGCCGTAAGAGTCACTTTTCTAAATAGGAGATCTTATTATGAATGCCAATACTTAATTGAACTCTTATGCCAGAGAACTTTGCATGAATTATCTCATTCAGTCCATACATCAACTGTATGAGTAAGACACTGTTAATTGCTTTTTATATGTGAAGAAACTGAGGCTGAGAATTTCCTGGGATCACTGGCTAAGAAATAGTGGAACTGGGATTCAAAACCCAGAACTGTTGGATTACAGAGTCCTCACGTCACTCCCTTGCTCTAATCTTCAGGGCTTCCTAAGATGTTTTGGGCAAAAGAAATAGGCTGAGTGGTAAGTGGCACCGGGACCTCTCCATGCAGATGGGCACTGGCAGGATATGCAGTAGCCAAGGACCCAGTTTGGAGCAGTGGTCAGGGACTTTTGCTGTATATTGGCGTCACCTAAAGAGCTTCTAAAATTAGTGTGATGCCTGATTTGGCCCTGCCAGACCAGCTGAAACAAAACCGGAATGGGGCCCAGGGTTGATATTCTGAAGATTCTCCATAGATGATTCTGCTTTATACCCAGGGTTGAGAACTATTAATCTGGAGCAAAGAGTGTATAGAGTATATAAGGTAGGGGTTGTGAGGGAGGAGAATACAATAGTAGGAAATTATACTGGAAAAATAGGTTATGCTGACATTTGTCTACCATTCTTTGGTCTGTTGAATGGTTTCTGAAGCTATAGGTTGTGTTCTGCTAACTTTTGAGCATATAAAACAAAATCCAAAACTGGGTTCAAGTACAATGTATAGACCAAATTGGAAAGGAGAGCAAGTGTATCCGGTAGTATGCTGTGGTACTACTTTGGTGTTGAACCCAGGCACTTGCCTGGCATCCTTAAGCCCTGGGGTGATGGGAAAGCTCTAGGACCATAGGTTTGGATCTAGGTGCTACTTTGTTGTATCTTTTGTGTAATCATGCCCAAGTATTTACAATCTAAAGTATATATTTTATTGTAACTGACTTCCTTTTACTTTCCTTTTATTATAGGTAGGGCTTTATATTTTTTCCCCAAAATATGTATGTAGGTTGGTTATTTAGGAATTTCTTTATAGTATAGTACTGTGGATATCAAAATATTTCTTATAAAAAGAAGCATTAAATCTGATAGGATTGGTAACCACTGATTTCAAATAAAAGGATCAGTTGAAACTACTATTAATAATAATATGATTTCCCGTGGAAATAGTTCAATGTGATGTCTGTTAAAAATTTCCCCATGAAATAGGGAAATTTAACTTGATGTAGTCTGCATGGATAGCCTAGCCATTCTTAGTTGGGAACATATTAAATCAATATAAAAGCTGTCCTTGTAAACGACAGCTTTCTAAACCCTTTAATTACGTTCTCGTTTATTAATCACAACAATCCAATTGAGGTGGTTGATACTATCCTTATTTCTCAGAGAGTAAAATGTGGCTTGTTGTTTTAAATAAGGGATCTGTGCAGGAGCACACAGCTACCAAAACATAGTCTTACTCTGAATTCCAAGGCCCAGGTTTTTTAACTAAACCACATGCCAGTATGAGCTTTGAGAAGACAGCTTTCTGGGCCATGGCATGGCTTTTGCTTTGTCCTGTAAGGGATCCAATATTTAAGGATATCTTGGGCTGTCCTCCCTTGCTTTTCCTCCTCCCCTTCCTTCCTTTTTAAGGATTAAATGGTCTTTACTTAATTGCTAGATTTAACTTTTCAAGGTTTGTAAAGCTGTCTGGATCTAATCTAAATTTCTTTCAGATTTGTTAATACAACAGTTAATGAATTTGTCAGATATGCCAACTGGTGATTACTTAATGTGTTTATTGGTTTGTCGTGATTTTTATTGTGAAAGCACGACTATGTAAAACATCCTAGAATTTTGTTAGAAAAATTTTACTCAAGAAAACAAAACACTTTACGGATATTCCGACTGCTAGATTTCTCAGTTTCAGCATTCCCAAAGATCTGTATCATTAAGAATAGTGACCATTTAGCTATTTGTTGCTTTTCTGAAAGTGGACTTGACATAATATATCATTTTTTAAATAAGAAGTCACCTTTTAGAATCAAACACACCATAGATTATGAAAGTAACTATGTAAGAAATGTGTCAAGCTTTTTAGGTGTAATCTGTTGTGTACTCTGGAACATTTTGTTCTCTTAAATGCTTAGGTATTATTAGAAGTCTTTTAAAACAATGTTTGAGTACCTTTGTGGCACTCCAAGAATAGTGGTAGCTATCAGCTACCAGTAACGGGTTGATTATTTTAGATTTAAAATGATTACCATGTCCTTATGCCTGGCTGATTTTCTCTTTTTTTCTGAATTCAGTATATTTAAAGTTGGAATTTGCTGCTAAAGATGGCAGACCCAGATGTCCTCACGGAGGTTCCCGCAGCATTGAAGAGGTTAGCCAAGTATGTGATCCGGGGATTTTATGGCATTGAGCATGCCTTGGCCTTGGACATCTTGATCCGGAACCCCTGTGTGAAAGAAGAGGATATGCTGGAGCTGCTCAAGTTTGATCGGAAGCAACTTAGATCAGTTTTGAATAATTTAAAGGGAGACAAGTTTATCAAATGCAGAATGAGGGTAGAGACTGCTGCAGATGGGAAAACCACTCGCCATAACTACTATTTTATCAATTATCGTACTCTTGTTAATGTGGTAAAATATAAATTGGATCACATGAGAAGGAGGATTGAGACCGATGAGAGAGATTCCACCAACCGGGCTTCCTTCAAATGTCCTGTCTGTAGTAGTACTTTCACAGACTTAGAAGCTAATCAGCTCTTTGACCCCATGACAGGTGAGATTTATCCAGTTTGCGATTTATCTATCTATCTATTTATTTATTTATGTTGCTTTAAGTGACCCTTGAGTGATGTGAATCTTTCTTTTAAGTAAAATAAAATATGTACCCTTTTTCTTAAATTGACTCATCTAATTTTTAAACCATCGTATATGTCATTACAAAAGTGAATGATCAGTGTGAGTCACAGCATACAGTCAGTCTTACTGTCCTGTTGGGGGTCTTACTACTTTGAGAAGCCTTTGCAAAGCCTTTCTCCTTCACAAAGGAATGTACTCATCCGTGACCGTCCTGCCTCTGCCCCACCACCACCCCTTATTTATAGCCTACTCTGGAGCGTTGACTTCTCTACCACTTTGAGACTATTCTGACAATTTTACTTTTGACCTCTCCACTCAACAAATATTGGAGCACCTACTTGTGCCAGTCACTGCTAGACAGTTACAATACAGTGTATTTAAATGCTTTGTTAGCGGAAGTAGAAGGTGCCATCAGTAGTATGTGACAAGGGCATATAATCTGGATTTGGGGAAGGCCTCTGGTAAAAGTTAACAGCTCAGACCTATAAAATAAGAGCTAGATGAAATAAGAGGGAGAACCCTTTCCAAATTAAGTGGATATATATTTAATGTCTCTTAGCTATACATTATTAATGGAATAGAGTTGTCAACAAGATATGTAATTTGCCTCATGTAATTAAAAACTTTAGTTTTAAGGATTTTTCTTAATGTAGAAAACATGCATTTTCTGAAAATACAATATGTCTAGCCTTAACATGGGATACTTTAAAGTTCTGGCTTATGGTTATTTTGTCTTGTTATTTATAAACTGGGAAAGAGACTATAGTTTTGCTAATTACTCAATGGATCAATTTTCTTACTTTCTAGAGATAAAAATCTA